AGCCACAGGACTAGGGGCTTGGGAGTCCCTGCTGTCTCACAAATCACCCACCGATCTGCATTCTTCGTTTGACATTCGGGAGCCTTTGATGGCAGAATAGGGTCTTTGCGCCCTCACAGTATTTCTGAGAGCCAGAAGACCATCCCATATGTAAGTGGGGAGAGGTTGCTAGCCAATGAAAGAATCTCTGTTCTAGGCTGGGATCTCCAGGAAGTCATGTGGTGAGTCCTGCCCCATGGAGCTGGGACAGCTGTCTTGGCAAATGGAAAACAAATTAATAATTAATCAGTGCTCTGTTTTCTAAAATGAGACCTGGATGAGGGCGGTCATTTTAAAAGTTGAGAGCCACTAGTCTAGTTTCATTCCTCTTTTTACCCCAACGCCATTTTATCAGCAGAGATGCTGAGGCCCGAGTTTGGAGCCTCAAGATCACAGTCACGGATGCGGCCCATGGTTTGGTAAGACTGGGAGTCAGTCAGATCTATCTTTGTACCCTGGCACCAGAACACCGACATATAGAGGTGGCAACAGATATCCATGGAAATGAACCTATTGGGTCTGATTATACGAGGTCCCCCAGCAGGCTTCTTTCATAAATATTTGTCAAGTGTCTACTATGTCCCAGGCACCACACACTTTCCGCCAATGAACAGATCAGATCCTCATTTCCCTAGTGCTCCAAGTTTTTGCTTTTGAATCCAGGGCACAGGAAAGGGTGGAGGGAAGGAGATTGACAGTCTATTTCTTCTAAGCACCTGTTTGGTTTCTTAAAAATAGTATATCAGTAATCAGAGTCCCTGTAGGGGTTTTAAAGTATGTCCGCAAATTCTTTGACAATCCTCCTCTCAAAAGGTGGAGACTAATTGTTAACCACTTCGGTGTGGACCAGTCTTAGTGACTCACTTCTAATGAGCAGAATGTGGTGGAAGGTGGAAGTGATAGTGTGTGGCTTCTGATATTGGGGCTTCCTAGTCTCTCTCTCCCTCTGCCTCTCCCTTCCCTGTCTACATTCACCCCTTGGTGACTTTATTCATTGTCATGACTTGAAATACCATCCCAACACCAGTGATTCCAAACTTTCTATCTTCAGCCTATAACTCTCAACTGTCTACTGGACATCTCCACTTGACAGTCTAAAAGGCATCTCTAACTTAACATGTCCCAAACCAATATGTTGAAATCTGCTCCTAAACCATCTCCTACTGCTGTCATCCCCATCTCAAGGGCAGCTCCATCCTTCTCCTTGCCAAATACGTGGGGTCCTCTTCAGTTCTCTTTAACTTACATCCTACATCCAATCCACCAGCAACTTCTGTTGGTCTTACCCTTAAAATGTATTGAAATCCAGCCATTTCTCACCTCCTCCACTGCTGCCATCCTGACTGAACCACCCCTTCCCTGTATTAACTTGGTCTCCCTGTTAGCTCCTGACCTCCTACAGTCTATGTCCACATAGTACCCAAAGGGATTCTTCCCAGCTCTGTATACTATTCCTCCAGCGGTTTTCCCATCTCATTCGGATTAAAAGCTGAAGCCCTTATGTCCTTTAAGGCCAATACAGTGTCCGATGTGCTTCCCCCCATCTCTCTGACTTCATCTCCTGCCACTTTCCTTGTTTTAAACCACACTGGCCTCCTTGCTTCCTTCCAATATTCAGTCTTGCTCCGACTTCAGGGCCTTTGCACTTGCTGTTCCCTTTGCTTTCTATCTAACGTTCTTCTAGTCTTTTATCAAAAATCCTTCTCCAAAAAGATATTCTCCACAAGAACAGGGATTACTTTCTGTTTTGTTCAGTTGTATCTCTAATTCCTGACACTTAGTAGTTGTTTAATAAATATTTGAAGGATTAATTCAGATGCTTGAGTCCCAGTGAATTGGAACCTGGTATATGAGTGGTGCCCAGAAATCCATATTTTAAAAAGACATCCCAAGTACATTAGGGTTGAGAAGCCCTATCTGAGGATGTCAGCAGATAAAAAGTCCATGAATATCATGCAAAATTCAGCTCTCTCATTTCATTGATGGAGGCAGCAAGGCCAGAGGTGGGAGGAGTTACCCCAGGTCCCAGTGGGTGGGCCAGAGGAAGTAGAATTTAGATACTGGACACCTAGCACAGAGCTCTCTCTGCAGCCCCAGTCTGCCTGGGCCTGCCTAGTCTGATTGCAGGGCCTACTGAGAGTGGAACTGCTGAATCACTGGAACCTAGGCTCAGCACAAGGTATATATAGCCCAGCTCAGGTGCTGGTGGGGCAACTTGGAGCTGCCCACACCTCTCCTAGGTGACCGAGGCTGATAAAGGCAGAGCTTGGTCCTGCCTTTATCTAAACTAACTTAGTAGTGAAGTATGTCAATGTTTAAGTTCAAGAGTCCATCAAAGCCTTTGAAATGTCTAACCCTTAGAAAAAATTTTAAGACTGTCAGTGGCAAATGAAATTGAGCTTGGGGGACATAACTAAAGCCTATCTCTGGTATGAGGAAGCTGGCATGCGTAATTTGGTGGGGCCTCCATGACACTGGCCTAAGGGTAGATTTAAAAAATGTTTGCATGCCTCTTTACCTGGGCCTAGGAGTTCCCAAACCACCTGGGTCACCTGGGGGCATTTGTGAAAAAAAAAAAAAAAAACCAGTTTCCTGTCATCGCCCAGATGTTGGTTTCAGTGAATGTTGGGTTAGGCTCAGAAATTTGGATTTTAAGGGATTCTTATGCTCTGTAAGTTTGAGAAACACTGCCCTGGGCTAATAGCCTATGGAGTAATAAATCTTGCAAGGCAATGAGGCCCTGGCATCGGGCCCTCCCTCATTCCTAATGCAAGACCCAATTCCAACACTTTAAAGAAAACAGTAGTATGTTTATAAATCCTAGTAGACTATTGTGCTTATCAAGTGCACCTTGGGGAATTCGTATTCTATCGGTTCAAAGAAACCCTTGGGTACCTTTGCAACTGAGCAGTTATTAAAGATGGTCTGTCACACCTGGATTATTCCAGTGTGCAGAGGTTGCTGGGAGGTGGCCCCAGAATGGCAGGAGCTGGGGGAGCTTCACTGGGCTTGATGAGAAAACCAGCTTGGCTGGTCTGTGATGGATTTGGACCCAGGTACACCTGACTCCTGCATTTCATGCTCATCACTACAGTATTAGCCCTCCCAAATTTACACACATAGAGTTCATGGTCACACATGTACCCCCAAGAATACACATTTACACAGAAAAGTAAGAAACCCCAAGCTTCTAGACACTTCTTTCTGCTTTCCTCCTCCAACCCATCCTTCCAGCCCTGCAAGTTATCTCTAAAGGACAGCTCTCTAATTGAGCTTCTTTTCTAGCTTCTGCTCAAAATCCTTTGATGGTTCCCACTGTCATCACATCCAGCCGATGCACCGTTTTGACATTCAGGGCTGCTGTAACCTGGATACAACGCCTTCCCTGTGGAAGGCAGAATGACGGCCCCCAAAGGTGTCCACATTCAAATCCCTGGAACCTATGAATGTATTGCATGGCAAAAGGGACTTTGCAGATGTGATTACAGACTTCGAGAAGGGAAGACTTTCCTGGATTTGGGTGGGCCCAGTCTAATGACACAGGTCTTTAAAAGTGGAGAGAGCCTTTTCTAGCTGCGGTTAGAGAAATGTGATGATGAAGGAAATATCAGAGAGATATGACATTCCTGGCTTTGAAGGTAGAGGAACGGTGGCCACCAGCTAAAATATGAGGGCAGCATCTAGAAGCTAGAAAAGGCAAGGAAATGGATTCTCTCCTAGAGCCTCCATAAAGAAATGCAGCCCTCCAAACATCTTGACTAGCTCAGTGACACCCATGTTGAACTGCAGTAAGATAATTACTTCGTATTGTTTTAAGACAGTATAGCTGTGGTAATTTGCCAGAGCAAGAGGAAACTAATACATTTCCCATTGAAGCTTCCTCCAACCAGTTCATCTCCAGCTAGTCTAACTGCAGATACCAAGTGTTTTCCTCCCTCCACACCTTTGTTCATTCTGTGGCCTGTTCAGAATACTCAGATCGCCTCTCTCCTGAGCTCCTATTTACGATTGCCTTTCACTCTACACTGTCCTCAGCATCGAACACCTGCTATCAGTATTCACCGCTCTGCCTGCCTATCCTGTGGGCTCCTTGAAGGCAATGTTTGTGATTTGTTTTCCTCTGGACTCCAAGGCCAGGAGTGGTCCATAGAGGTTTGCACAAGGGACCTGAGGTATCCTTACGTAGAACCTCTGGTTCTAAGCCCCTAACTGCATCAGAACCACCTGGGGATCTCTACAAAACCCCTAATTCTACCAAATCACCATGGAGCACGGGAGGCAGCTCCGCATGTATTATTGGGTGAAGATTTCTGAGATTCAAAGTTAAGTGAAAAAACAAGGAGTTGAAGAGTGAGTAGAATGTTGCCATTTGTGTAAAAAAGGGGAAAATAAATATTTACATAATTCTAGAAGAATTGAGTATCTTTGGAAAGATATAAAAAATAAGAGGACATGACCTCCTGGAACTTTCTAAATTCTGAACCACATGTACGTATTACCCGTTTACAAAAGTAAATAAAATTTTAAAATTCAAAATACCGATTCTGGTGTAGCACCAGAAAGAATCCAGGATGTCCTAGATGGGGCACAGGGATTTGTGTCTAAAGCACTGTCTGCCAGCTCATTTTAAGTCAGGAACTGAACTGTCAGGAAGAAGGCAGAGCCAAGATTCCAAGAATATTTGGAAACATAAACTGAAAACACAGTTAATCAGAAAAATAAATAGACAGCTCTCCAAGGGATTGTGAAGCCGGTTTGGGAACCCACTGCTTTAGTCTCACCTCTGCATTTTATAGATGAGGAAAGAGGGGGAGAGCGACGTGCCCAGAGCTACACGGCCAGTCGGAGGCACAGGCCACTGCTCCCAGGAATGTTTGATAGCGGCAATGAGATGGACTTCCAGCCCCTGCCCACCTTCATGTAGGGACACTGCTGACTCACAGGGTAGGAGGACAGGAAGATAGAGAAGAAAACACCAGCTTTAATCAACCCACCTGCACAGAAACCAGGGGAACACTCCCTGCTTTGCAAGGTCCCAGGGAGAACTTGGTCTCCTTGCAAAAACTGTCTTATAAAAACAAAAGGCTTCAAAGCACCAGTGGCTAAACCCTTTTGAGTAGAAAGGGGGCTAGGGGAGTGGGGGAGAGATGACAGCTGGCTTAGGGTGGGGGAAGGGAGGGCTGGAGGCAGGAGTTGGTCCAGTGGTGGGGCAGCAGCAAAGCCTGAAGGGAACTACACCCTTCTTAACCTGCACCCGTCAGCTAACTGGGCTGAGCATCTGGGGCCTCAGAGCCTGCAGTGACCAGAGAACCTCTGGGGCTGGTTCCTTGGCACAGCACTGCAGTTGGGATGGTAGGGTAGAGTCTCAGCTCAGGATATTTTGGCCTTAGACAATAGGAAATCCTAGTGTGGAGGGTGGAGAGTATGGAACAAAGTGGTCACCATGAACAGGCTCAGCTGTGCTAACTGCCTGCACTTCCTTCCAGTTCTCTGGTGCCTCCCACCCTCCTTCCTAACCTAGGGCCACTCCGGTTTCACAGGCTGGGAAGCTGACACCTGGTCCTCCTGCTCTTGGACTCACCAGCCAGGGCATAGTCCACAGGGTGCTCAAGGGTATCTGTGGAAGGAGGTGGGGAGAATGAGCTCACCTCTGTTTGCTCTCAATGAAAGGTGCTGGCCCTCCCAACCACCTACCATGACCCACAGCCCCATTCTGCCTCTAGAACTCCTGGACATTGGTGTGGTCATAAACGCTAGTGATCTGTGAGCACTGGTGACCAGGTAGTGCTGACCAGCCCTTTTCCACTCTGAAACCACAGGTCTTCCAACCGGGGAAGTAAATGGAGCTATCAGGGGTTGGTGGAGTCGCTGAGGGGGAAGGGGAATCATGGGTGTAGCAGCTTCAGGGACATGGAAGGGAACGTGGTGACTGAGTTGTGGTCCCCCTTTCCTGGAGAAAGCTCGAAAGGTTTGCCAAGACAGAAGCCAAGTCTAGGAAGGGTTCCCTGTGGGTCAGGTTGAATTCAGGGCTCTGGGCTCCATACATCTGGTTCCCAACAAGAGAACGGGTATATTGCTTTAAGAGAGGTGTTGGCAAGTGGTGGCGATGATGTGTAAATGTGGTGTGGATCACATGGATTCTAGAGTGTCCAAGCTGGAAGGGGGCTTGAAAATGGAATTCAGAGGCCAGACGCTGGATTTTGGAGGCTGAAATTACAGAAAGTACACTGTGTTCAAGGCCTGCCTTCACCAAAAGCCTAGCTGTGTGGCCTCAAGCAAATTGCTTCACATCTCTGGGCCTCAGTTTCCATATCTGCAAAATAGGAATTGTAATCCCAGTCTAATGCAGGGAATTGAGAGCCAAATGAGAAGGCTAGAAAGAGCCTCATTTATTAAGGGATTATTTTAATTATTCGAGGTGGGAAAACTGAGAACCAGAGAGGGCAAAAGCCTTGCCGGATGTCACACAGAGAGTCAGTGATAGAGCTGCAATTAGAACCCAGGACTCCTGTCCCTAGTTCATGGTAACTTTCCCCAGAGCTGGTGAATGAGTGTGGTGAGATGGGGTGAGTCTGTCGGTCCTGCTTTTACTCTCTGGACAGTGGACAGGATGCTGGGCGATGGGTGAAAAGGGAGAGGCTGGAGAAGAGAGGGAGCCCCAGTACACACCAAGGCTGAGATTAAAAAAAAAATACAAACCCCGGAATTCCCCTCCCTCACCCCGCCCCGCCCCACCCCTGAAGTCCGGGCTGCGAAGGGCCAAGTCCAAGTCCACCGCAGACCCAGATCAAGCAGCACAGGCTGCAGTCGGTCCGCGAGCCGCCAGGGGGCGCGCCTGCCATCCTGGTCAGAGCTCATGGCAGCGGCTGTCAGTCTAGCCACAAAGCAAGTGACGCCAGGGTGGGCGCGAGGAAGAAGCTACCCCGACCTGGAGAAAACAAAGGCAGATTAGGAAAGTGGACCCCAAAAATGAGGATGTGGAGAGATCGGCTGCCTTACCCATCCCTCCTTTCCAACACTAACGCACTGGTCTCCCCACCCCACCCTGTTAGGTGCCATGACCCACGTGTACAGAGGCTGCAGTTGTAAATGCGACGTCTTCTGGGGAGCCTGGTATCCGTAGGAGTCAAAGCCACCAATGAAGTCAACTGCGGAAAGTGAAGAGGCACATAATTAGGGAGGGGTCTGTTGGGGGCGTTATGGGAGACTGGGCCCTGAAAAGGAAGAATCTGAGGTGCAGATCCCATACAGGGCCTTAGGGGTGGGGCCTGAGGGATGGGATGAGTCCGTGGGGGCCAGGACTCCGAGAAGTTCTCCACCAGGAGAGGGCCAAGGCCCTAAGAGGATAGAGAGCCTAGAGGGTGGGGCATCCTTAAGGGAGTGGGCTCTTGGTGACAGGGCTCGAGCCACTTAAGGAGGTTAGACCTGCGGAGGAGTGGGGTCGGGGAAGGACTCTGGGAACACCTGTACCTGGCAGGGGCAGGCCTCACCGAGCCCCTCCACCAAGGGCAGGGCCTAAGAAGGGAGAGTAGGAGGCGGTACTAGGGCCATGGACTGGGCACCTGGACGTTTAGGCCTCAGCCCCAAACGGAAAGGCTATGCAAATTCCACCCACCCCTGCCGCCTCTTCTTCCCCACCGTGAGGGGCCAACCCAGAGCTCCCTACCGCCGAGGCGGCTCAGGCCCCTGTCCAGGGTGCTGAAGGCGCAGGACTGCGCGCGGCTAGGCTTCCCCACTTCCCTCGGGGCACCGCACACTCACAGCTGTCCTCCTCTTCCAGGAACACTTTGCTCACGTAGCAGGCGAACACGAAGCCAAACAGCTGGGGGAGGAAGGGAACAAGAAGAAGGAAGCTCTTCCTCCACCCCTTTCCTGGCCCTGCCCACCCTGACTGGAGGGGCGGTGTGTGCTAAGATGCAGGCAAACTCATAACAACTTCAAGTTAATGACTGGGCCTTAAAGTGAAACAAACTTTATTCCAGTCTCCCTCTGGGAGTTTGACTTTGAATAAGTAATTCTTTTACTTCTTCAAGCCTCAGTTTCCCCAGTTAGATCTGGGTAATACCTTACTGGCTTGTTAAGAGGAAAGAGGATTATGTGACTTTGCCTGTGTAAAGTGCCTAGGACAGGGCTGCCCCATCCCTTCTAAAAATGGGAACTATTACTATCTTATTGTATTCTCACAACTCCTTGAGGTTGATATTGTCATTTCTTTTTGTGTGTAAGGAAACAAGCTTGGAGAGGGCAAGTGACTTGTCCAATGTCACACAATATTACAAGGGTATATTGGAGATTTAAACTCAGGACTGACTCACAGTCTGATGCCTCATCCTATTCATTAACTCACTCACAGAGCACTTTCTAGTTTACAAATCATTTTTATATCCATCCAGTCCTTACAATAGCTCTCTCCCTGCTCACTCCCTGAATGGAGGCTATGGCAGGAGTGAAGTAAGTACAGAATATGGAAACAGAGGCAGGCTGGAAGACCTAGGTTCCACCCTTCTTAACTAAGGCTAAACAAAGGGGTTTGTGGACATCATTTCTGGGAGTGTTGTGAGGTGGGGGGACAGGAGGACTCACTGCCAGAAAGATCTGCAAGGCGCTGCTGAGGGCTTCAATGTAGGGATAGTCAAGCAGGCAACCAGTGACGGAGATGACATGATGGTCCTCCAGAGCCAGGCGGGAGTTCAGGACAGGTGTCACCAGACAGCCCGGCCCATTCTCCATCCACCAGGAGCGGTGCAGTGATGTGTTGAAGGTCATGATGAAGTCCCGGTCCTGGAGGCGGAGGGGCCTAGGATACTGAGCCCGGTGGGGGGGATCCTCCCCAAGTCCCAGGAGACTTTATATAAAGCCTTCTTCACATCTGAACTGCTGTAGCAGCCTCCTCTCCCCTGGCTTATGGGGGAGTCTGTATCTGCAAATCTACTTTTGGCCAGTAGGTGGCGCTTGATGACCATGCATGCCTCGCTCTCCCATCTGTGATGGAAGGGGCTGCTGCTGACCCACAGAAGCCTTAGAATTTCAGGGCTGGAAATGACACTAACAGTGACCTAATACAATTTTCCAGCCATTGGTGAAATCCACAGCAAAGGCCTCTTCATGGCCCATTCAGCCTCTCTACTGCTGTCCTTGTGTGTGACCCTGGGCAAACTTCTCACCTCTTTGGTCCTCAGTTTCCCCATTTGAAATGGAGAAGAGGCTGGCCTACATCAGATGTTGTTATCCATGGTGTGCATCCGTGTGTTCATCAATCTATTAACTCATACAGACTTCTAACAAACACTCACTCCAGGTGCCAAGCACTGAGGTGTGTGATTTCATTTATCCCCCTCAGCAACCACAGGAAATTGCTATTGTTCTTATCTGTACTTACTAGCTGAGGAACCTGAAGCTCAGAGAGGGTAAGTTACTTGCCCAGGGTCACACAGCTGGAAACTGTTAGAGATTTGAATCTAGTAGAGTCAAACTAAAGCCATTGACCTCATTCATATATTTTGCCTTCTTTATATCTGAAAATAGAAGCTATGCCCTCTGGGTTTGTTCTTTTCCAAGCCAAATATTCCCACTTTCTTCGATATTTCTCCACATGACATGGTCTGTTCAATTTTCCCTCGAACAAACTCTACCTAATCTCATTCTCTTATGAAAAATATTGATTAGCAGTGGACTCAAATCTCTGTGCTCTAAGCAGTACAAAGTGTACAGAATTTTCACCTCCCTTGCACTGAACATGCGTGGAGCCTAAGAGTAGCTTTCTGGGTCACCACATACTGTTGGTTTCTACTGAACTTGTGATCAACTGGGACCCCAGCCCATCTTCACACAGATTGCTCTTCAGACGTATCTGTTTCATCATTTGTGTCTGAGAAAGGGCAGAGGAAGCCAGAAACAAAAATGTGGGGTGGGGGATGGGGGCACAGATTATTTGGGTGTGTAAAGGGAGGTTTCTTCAAGAGATGATACCCCAGATCCACACCACATGGGGCACCCTTGGGTGGGGGATGGGAAAGGTCAGGCTCTGCCCTCGGGCACTACCAGGCCTGAGGCTTACCTGGGACAGCTGTCCAACCTCCAGGTAGAAGCAGATGATAAACGCATTCCAGCCAACCCAGAGCACCAGCCAGGCTGCATACTGGGGAAAGCACAGGTGGGGTCAGGGTGGGGCCTGAGGGAGTGGGTTTGGGGTATGTCCATGGAGACAGAGCTCAGGGACAAAGGAGCAGAGGAAATTATGACAATACCTCACTCACAGAGCACTTTCTAGTTTACAAATCATTTTTATATCCATCCAGTCCTTACAATAGCTCTGCAGGGAAGGCACTGACTACCCTCTCTTCAGAGGTAACTAATTTAAGGCCTAGAGGGGATCTTTGCTCTCTGAGATCACACAGCTAGAAAGAAGTGGACCTAGCACTCAAACCCAAGTCCTTGGGTGGCTAATCCTATCCATTCTACAGAGAACGGTCACCAGACATGGCAAAGACCTGGAGAGGAGCTGGCTATTTCCACCAGTGGCCACTGCCTGGCAGACAGGGCTGTTTACATGGGTGCCTGGGCTTCCTGAGAACTGGAGAGAAGGGTTCTCTTATCTCTTTCAAGTGACAGAAAGCTCTGGAGGACCCTGTTCACTGGGCTTCTGGGAGCTGAGCCTGTGGGAGGTGGGGAGAAGCCCTAGAATGAGTGGGAGTGAACTCTGGTGGTAGCAGGACATTGTGTGTCATTGCTATTGTGGGTGTCAATCATTTATGTAGCAAATCCACTGAAAAGCCTTTTCCCTCAGGAGAGGTGTGTGAATAGGTCACCGAGGAAGAGCAGGGGACCAAGGTGAGCCTAGCTGATAACAGGAGTTTAACAGAGACTATCGAGAACCAGGGCTTGGAAAGAGGAAGCAGGAGAGAGGAGCCAGGGACACAACCCACTCCTGGAATGGGTGCGTAGGCACTGGCCTCGAAGCCACAGGAGCCGTTCTAGACCACATTTTTGATGAACACAATGGGACAAAAGCTAAGCCTTTCTGAAGCAACCTGAGAAACTAAACAAGACAAGGCTCTTTCCTCCCACTGGCTTTCTGAGACAGCGTGGTGATGTGGCAGGAGCCTCTGCTTCGGATCTGAAGCTCTAGTCCTGGCTCTGCCACTTGTTAGCTTTGTGATCTTAGGAAGCCTTTTAACTTTTCTGAACCTCATTTCCACATCTGGAAAATGGAGATGGCACACTATATCTAGCAGAACTGTAGTAAAGACCTGATGGTGTATGAAACAGCAGTGTGCCAGGCACATGGTAGGCACTCACTAAATGATATATCTGGTTAATATTTAGATTTTTTCCTAGGAAGTCCTTTAGGAAAAATATCAACCTTGTCTCTGCTGATTGAAGAAACATTGGGATTGGGGCATTCACACCACTAGCCAGGCTGGAGGCAAGACAGAGCTGGGGTCTGGGTACGCAGTGGGTGGGGGGGCAGCTCTGATTGGAGAAGGGGGGATGGGTGAGGGTGAGGAGAAGGGCTTGGCTTGGAAGGGGCCAAGTGGGCCATACCAGAATGAGGTACCGGGAGCGGTACTGCACCGTGCCAAAGATGCCCAGGATGACCGCCATGATGTGCAGGAAGTTGGCTAGGATAGGAGCCCATTGGTAGCCCAGGAAGTCAAAGATCTGCCGCTCCAGTGCAGCCACCTGTGGGAAAGAGCAGACTGAGGCCACTGTCACCCCCTAAAAGGAAAGGACAGGGACTCTTCCTTGACCTTATAGAGGAGGCGATACCGGTTACCATGGTGATGAGGCACCATGACCTGATTGTGCACAATTCTCAGAGCCATCCCAGCCCCGTGGTACCAAAGGGATATGGGAAGTGGGGGCAAGTCTGTGTGAGGGAGGAGGCACTGAGCCCAGATCATCACTTTGGCGTGCGCTGAAGGGAGATGGGAGCCAGGGTTCAGAACACTGCCTCCCTACCAGCTCGAGCTCTTACACCTTGCCCTTGTGGGGCTCTCAGTTGGTGGAGCCAGAATCCAGATCGCTTTTCCCAGACCTGGCCAAAGGCTGAGTCCTGGCTCTGGAGGGCCCAGGGAAGCCTCTAAGCCTGAGTCACCTCTTCCAAGGTCCCCTATCCGAGATCGCCCTGGCCTATGGGATCCATGGGCCACAGAGAAAGGGATTTTTTTCACTCCCCATCCCCAAGGGAGCTGTAGTAGATTGCAAAATTGGTCTCAATTCTTCCTTTCTCTGTTTTCATGCTCTTTGGTGTGCCCTCAGACACTAACTCTGTGCTGGGTCATGTGACTGGCTTTGCCAACGAAACTTCAGCAAACTCGATGCAAGTGAAGGCTTGAAAAATGCTTGTGAACTGGAGTTTGCCCACTTGCTATACTTGTAACACAGAGAATATCTTGTAAAAGAGTCTAAGCTGACCTGCTGGAGGATGAGAGGCCATACGGAGGGGCACCGAGGCACCCCAGCTGACAGCTCCTCAACCATCAGAATGAGGTTGAGTAGATCATTCAGACGCTAGCCATAGACCATAGGCACATGGCCCAGACCAGAAGAATCTCCTAGCTGACCCACAGAATCATGGGCTAAATAAAAGTGTCCTTTCAAACCATGATGATTTGGAATAATTTGTTATGCAGCAAACGTTAACTGATATAGCATGCAATCAACACTCTCTTTCCAGCAGCCCCCGGTTCCATCTTTCAGCTGATACTCTTAGGAAGAAAGGTGCCAAAGACACCTATTGGTATAATATCCCTTCCTCTGGTGACAGAACTTACCTCTTTGTTTTGGAAGCTGCCTCCCAGGCACTCAGTCCATGGGAGGCACATGGTGGGGATGAGACTACTTTTAATTTTTATGGTGGGCTTGTGACCCAGGCCTAACCAAATAATCCACACACGGTGATCTGTTCGGGAGTGGGCACTCACCCTGTGCCCTGTTCCTGAGAGTCGCCAAAACTAAGGGACAGAGAGAGAGTGAGGGAGGAAGATGAAAAAAAGCAAGGAGAATGCCTTGTTACATCATTTTAGGTCTAGCCGTGCCTAAAACAAATTTCTCCTCCTTGTACTTGTGATTTCTGTCACTTGCAACCAAGAGTCCTGACTAAAATAGAAGGAGGAGACAAGGGTCTGGCTGGGGAGGGAGAGGGAAGATTCTGAAAAAGTGAGAAGATCCCAGAAGCCTTGTTCTTAGCAGGGAGGCAGGAGGAGGTGGAGCCGATGCTATCACACAGATGGCAAGGCTGGGCAGAGACCCAGGAAGCTGCAGGCCCAACCCTGGCACCCACCCACCTGGCGCCGGCCTGCCTCTTGTGGTGACTCCCCTCCCAGGGCCCTATAAAGAGCTTTCCAAGTTCATCTCTCACTGGATATGCCTCGGTAGAAGGGCAAAGCTGAGAACATTATCTCATTTTGAAGGAGATCATGAGTCTCAGAGGGGAAGTGACTTGCCCAAGGTCACACAGCAGGTTAGTGGCAGAACCAGGCAACCATCCTGGCTTTCTCTGCCACCTGTCCCATCTTGGCACCAACACACAACATTTCCCAGTTGGCGCTGGCCTGGGAGTGTGGTTCTAGCTGAAGGTCTGACACTGATTCTTGAGTGACCTTAAGTAGGCCACCTCCTGCTGGGTCTTAGGTTTCTCTTCTATATATAGAGGCTGCTGGGCTAACTGACCTCTAAGGGCCCTTTGGTTTTGACTTCAATGGCCTGCTGATCTTGGGGGAGAAACTCCCCAGGCTCCCCCCCACCCCCAAAGCTCCTGCCCCACTTCATTTTTCTGTTTTCCATACTGACTCTGCTAGGCCTTAGGGAGCCCTGGTGGTCTGGAGTCCAGCTTGATGATCTCAACTCTTCTGGTACCTGGTCCTGGCAAGGAGGTTACCACCAGAAGACACAGGGCTGTGACAGAGTTGCCCAGGCTCATAGTGTATCTGGGAAGACACCCTGCCTGGATATGCCTGTCTATAAAATGAGACAGTACTTCCACCTCCACCCTGGCCCCTGCTCAAAACCCCTCTGTGTTCTCGGGGACTTTGTTGATAGAGTGAGCAGCATGGGACAGTTAACCAAAAAGCTTTGGAGTCACTAAAACTCACATTCAAATTGCAGCTTTGCTGTGTGACTTAGGGCAAGTTACTTTCTCTCTCTGAGCCTATTTCCTCAACTATAAATAAGGAAGATAATCCCTCCCCTGAGAAGTGGTTGTAAGGATATGGAGACGTCATATAAACTAACAGACAATTAAACTTAATACACGGTGGCTAATTAGTAGAAGACTTAATAGTCGAAGCCTCTTAGTTTGGCATTGAAGGCTTGCTAGGGTCTAGCTCAATCCTTTATTCCAGGTCATCTCTTGCCCCAAGAAGCTGAAATAAAAGCTGAAGTCCCATCTTCAGTTCCCTTTTCCTGTATCTCAGTTCTCCGTGGTCTTCAAAATACAGCACAATTCCCTCCTTTTGTAGGAAGACCTCATGACTGGCCCAAAGGGGTCTGTCTCTCTTTCCACTGAATAAGGAACAAAGGCTGTTCTTGTCACCCTCTCGATTCCTCCATCCTCACATCCAACAGGCACTCACTCATTCACCTACACCCACCCGCATCCACGTATCTATCCTTCCAACATCTGACATGCCAGGCGCCCTCTGTTATTTAGTCACAGAACATTCAGTCTGTGTCACGCCCTGTGCTGGCCCTGGGATGCAGACATGACTAAGCTGTGGTCCCTGCTCTTTGGGATCTCAGAGTCTAGTAGAGGAGATGGATGGAAAATCAGACAGTTACAAACCAGTGTAGTCAGTGCTATAGCCTAGGCCTGAATGAAGCCGTCTCTCCCTCCAATGGTGAGTGCAGAGATAGATTTGAATATATATATGTATATATATTTTTTTAATTGAGATTCAGTGTCTTATAAATACTCAAATATTTCAATATTCCAAAACTGCTTCTTGTGCAGCAGTGACATGCAGCTAATTAACAAATACAGATAAGAACAAAAAGAGGAGGAATATCTTCCCCCCCTGGCTGCGCAATATCTGAGGGCTGCGGTGATTGCAAATCTTAACTTGCCTTCGTGAGTCTTTTTCATTTTGATGGGAGGAAATATGTGGACACAACAGAAACCTGCTCCTTTGCAAAAATTTCAAGTGCACGTGCATCGAGGAAAAAAACCGACTTTAGGGATAGCTTCACTTGGTCAGCCTGCAAGCCAGGTCAAGCTAGCTTGAGTCTCTCTCCTAAGTTGTCCAGTATAGAAGCGTCTGTGGGCAGCTGATGTAGCCTCCTTCCCGGTCTCCTGGCAGAGGGAGGCTGGCCACCACCCTGTCAAGTGTTTTCTCTAAAATACAAATCTGGTCCAGTCACTGTCATCAAAGCAGCCCAGAGAGCTTGGAGCAATCCCTACAGCCTCTGCCAAAGTTCTTTCTTATTTCTTTAATTCAGATATTTATATAAATACCCAAATACCTCAGGTCCTTCCCTGAGGGGGTCCCTCCATCCTTTATATGTTGCACACAGGGTCCTACTTTCTCTACAGTCTTCTAGTGACTGTTTCTCTTCTCTCATCCCATCCTCCATCCTCACGTCCACGTATCTATCCTCCTAACATCCAGGCCCAACGCTGGGGCTGGTATCCTCTGGGGTCCTTGAGCTGCTTGCAGAACTGTACAACCCTGTGGCTTTGCCACCCTCTTCCACTGCTGTCCTCCTCACGCACTGGCTGCTGGGTCTTGCCCATTCTTTGAAAGCAAGTTTCATCCCTGCATCATCCTGGTTGACTTTGACATTTGGGGCCACTCTATCCAGCACCCCAGCCTCTCAGTCTCTCACACTCCTCCCCCATGACCTTCCCTTCTATTCTTCCTCATCTATCACCCCCCCCTTAGGCTATGTCATCACCTGTAACTGCTCTGCCTCCAAAGTCACCATTTTGACAACCCCACTCGGAGCATCCCAGCTGGCTTCCCAACACCCTTCACGATGATGAACCTAGTCTGGTGCATCAGGCCCCCAGCCCCGAGTCCTCTACTCTCTCCCATTACGTGGTTCTTCGCATCCTGACTCATGGTCTGCTGGGATCGCACAACCCCTCACGTCAGCATCCGCTTTGCCTGCAATCCAAACTCTCACACTCCTCTGTGTCAAGAAAAGCTCACACCTGATACACCCAGTAAATAGTTTTCTCAGTGCTTGCAAAGCAACCAAGTGCTGCTGGAGGAAAGCACTCCACCAGGCAGACTGGTCCACTGTAGACCTGGCATCGTGGACTTCAAGAGGTACCCTGATGCTGTGCCACAACCCGAATAGGCTTCTCTGGGAAACTCACTCTCCCTGATGACTATTTCAGATCTCACTGTCCTCTACCCTCCTAGGACCCCTCCACCCTCGCTCTCAGGGAGGACCTGGCCTCCCTTTCCCCGACCTGCTATATTTGAGGCACTGACCCTCCTCCCACCCAAGGCCAATGCCTCCTCCTGCACGCTGAACCCCATCTTTTCCTGTCTTCTCAGGAGACCACACCATCCATGGTTCCTTCTCTCTTGTAAACCCAGCCTCTCCCCTGCCCAGAATCTTTCTAACTGGCTCTGAAACATGCTCAAGCCCCTCTCATTAAAAAAAAAAGGCCCCTGCCCTGCTCTGGCTAATGCCTTATCTATCTCAATGCTTATATCCAAAACTGTTCAAGG